TGATAAACACGTTTAGATTGAATGGTAATTTATAATCAGTCACAAGAACGTCGAATCTGAAAAAAACACGGGGGTGCTTAACTTTTTTCCAGGTGTATACATAAAATTATTTTTATTTATTTCAAATATGCAATAAAGAACACAAAATATTAAGATGTACACAAAAAATAATGTCATAAAACTATTATAATTTAACTGGTTTTCTAACTAAGCTATAAGTGGTTTAAAATAATTATTTTAACTGGTTGAGGTAATCTCAGCAATAGCAACAATAAAACTATTGGTAAAAAAATCAAAAACTGTCATCAGAACAAGCTAGCCTTATTAGGAATTCATGTAAATTAAAACCTTATCTTCTTATTGGTTATAAATAATTCAATAATGAACAGAGATAACTACTGTTATTATTAGAAAGACGGGATGTAATGCCAGGGCATAACATGTGGGCTTGACTTTCTTGCAAAAATCCCAGTAAACCAAGAAGACTGGAGGCTATAAATGTATATTACGGCTTAGATATATCCATAAGTACGTAATTTGTGCCAAATTAAGAAGATCATACAGGGGTAGAAAGAAAATCTAAAATGTGCAATTCAATGCAAAGAAGTGCTACTATATACAGAGAAGTAAAAACTGGAAATTTTTAAAATATTTCCTTTTGAAATTAAGAAATTAAATATTAAAAATTGAATTATAGACTATGTTTTGATATTAAGTTTACTAACAAAAATTGATAATAAAGTTGTTTAATTAAAATTTAAATATAACTACGTAAGAGATAATGATATGTGCACTTTGGCCATACCCAACACTAGAGGGTTAACAGACATATGAAAATAATTACCAATAAAAGTGCAAGTATACATTCATTAGCTATTAAACCTTAAGCAATTATCTTCTGATTATTCTAAAACCTACTAAACAAATATTATAATAATTCTACCCACCCAAAATCAAAATTGTGCAATTAAATGTCACATATTTTCCAACAAAAAATTAAATGGCAATTGTAAGCTACACCTACAGGTGCAAACAGATCAAAAGGGCTTTAAGGCTTCCACCCACTTGTAGACTCCCACTCTGGTGTTTAAGTTCTTTTCTGATAAAATGTAAGCAGCCTCCATTGTTTTCCTCTGCTGTTTTTCCATTCCTTTCCTGATGATTTTAGTTTCCTTCCATTTAGGCAGGTGCCCTGCTTCCTCTACATGTACAGCTATTGTGTTGGTTTTGTTGCATCTTCTGACATCCTCTCTGTGTTCATTTAGTCTTGTTGTCAGGCCCCTGCCAGTTTCACCTATATAGAATGCAGTATACTATGATGCTGTCTGTTGTGTGTTTCTGTCTTCTGTCCTTTATCATCTCTCCTATTTTTATTTTTTGTTTTCCACTTTCATTACCACTTCTATGGTTGTGTGTTTCAATAGTCTGTTGATGGGACTTGCATCCCAGACACTGGGGACCACTATGAATTTCTTGTTTCTCTCATCCTGTCTGCTGTCATCATTCCTTTCCATGGTGTTCCTCGCTTTCTGCTTTAGCTTTATGAGCATGCCTGTAAGGTATTGCAGCTTCCTGAAAGTTTCCATTATGCGTTCATTTTCTTGAGCTAAAGCAATGCCATATCTGACTTTACCTTGTTGTTGAGAAGAAGTGAATAAAATCATCTCTGTCGGTTTGTTTTCTATAGATGGAGAACCTAGGTCCCTCGTCACCTCTCCAAACAAAGTGTCAAGGAATGGTATCTTCCCATCTTGCTCTTCTTCTTCTACTGTGAACTGTATGTCTTCTAGTATCCCATTCAGTCTCACCAATATTGCCTGTATGTCTTGTCTTCTTGGTATTATGGCTAAAACATCGTCCATATATCTCAGCCACATCAAATGTTTGCCAGGATGAAACTTCAAAAGCTACTGCTGCCCAATGGCTATTCATATAGTTACATTATTAAGACACAAGTAAGAGTACCCATCTCCAGTGATAGGGAAAGTTTAAGTTAATCTGTCAGTTTAGATTATTTCCTGAACTTTAAAAAGATTAATTGTATTGCACACTTGGTTTCACTCGGAGCCAAAGCTCTGAGCTACTTATACCGCCCACTGCAAAAAGTAATTATTGAGCATTTCAGTCATACTAAGAGCTTCTACACAATAACATATAGTAAATCTATTTTTCTATTCTTTAAGTTGTGTCACATTTTGAAATGTAAATGATAGTGTGATTAATTTCTAACAATTTAGTGTAGAATATCTTGTTTGTGAAATAAAACTTGGCATCAACATTATTCATGCCTGTTCTCCCATCATTTCAAAAGTGTATGCAGCTTTTCAAATGCAGCACAGGAAGTAACTGCCATAAACAGGAGACACAAATGCTCAGATAGATACCATGTTTCACAATATATATATACATACAAAATATTCCACAATTTTGAATCACAAGATTTTAACATATGACAGGAAAAAAAGAAACCACCACAGCAAAACACTATCTCATGGATTATGCCCTTCTTCAATAAAGCTTTAACCACTCATCTTTATCAAGCAGTTAGAAATTGTGGTTTGAATATCCACATCATATAAAAACCCAGTAAAAAAACTGAAGGATATACTTATTCACTCAGCCTTCAATAACAACAATCCATGCAAATCAAAAAAGTGCTTTGCTAAGACCAATGACTTAGAGAAATCCTAGCCAATTAGGAACACCATCTACAAAATGACATGTACACAGTGTTCAGCTGTATATGTAGGTGAATCCAGTCATCAAATACTTGATCATTTCAAAGAACACATTCATACCACTGCAAATATTGATAACAAAGAATCCACTGCTTAAAATTACATCAACACACATGGTATAATTAATGAGACACCTTATCTAATCAAAATTTTAAATTTGTGACAACTTTTTTGACAGGAAATTTAAGGAATCTCTCTTAATTCAATCCAAACATCCTTCTATTAATCCATTAACAGATACAATGCCTGGACCCTATAAATCTATTGGTATTTTATGTAAGATGTTTTTGCTTTTATTTCTTAACATTTATTTTTATGATCAGCAACTCTAACCCATCCAACAATACTTTTAGCATGCTTCACTGTGCACCTGTTCTTTTATATTACAATAGTTTTATATTCCTTTCAGTTACTATAACTAAAAATCAGTTTTGTAACCTGTGAAGTTCATAGACCTTTGAAAAAAGCATAAGATGAAATGTCTTGTAGAATTAAAAAATAACAACATTTATATTCAATTGTTTGTTGTCTTCATTGCATATAGCTAGATATCTCAACCACGATTTCAAATAAGGATAAGAATGTTGGAAACAGTCTTGACAATATGGAACATATGGCTAGCTCTTTCAAATACGGTTTCAAACAAGGGTAAGAATGGCAGAAACAGCCTGGACAATATAGAACATATAGCTAGATATCTCAACCACAGTATCAAATAAGGGTGAGAATGTTGGAAACAGCCTTGACAATATAGAACATATGGCTAGATATCTTAAGAATAGTTTCAAATAAGGGTAAGAATGACTGAAATAGTTTTGGTAATATACATATCTTCACTACAATTTCAAACAAGAATAAGAATGTTGGAACCAAGTCAGATTGAAAGGCCTAGATAAAGAATGAAAGACCTTGTTAGCAGTAACCTATAGAAAATTCGATTGTTGTTGCTGTAAGTTCCATTACACCAGTTACTAAAAATATTGCTTAAAAATCTTATCAGTATATCAGGATGTTTTCACATGACTGTTTCCAATCGCTTATCTACTATCACACAGATGGAAGTTAATTAAATAATTCTAATTGAAAATGCAGAAAAGCAAAATTACCAATTGGTTTTAATGATGTTCAACATAATGAAAATCATTTTCTAATTTTAGTAATACAGTAGGAGATAATTTATACCACAAAATAAACTGGTATTAATCTATGCATTGTCATCAGTAATTCCACTGAATGTAGAGCTAATATTACAGACTTTGGGTTAACCACAACAGGAACTTGTGATTTTTGTAATCTTTACACTGCTATTTCATCTTGATAAAATTAAAAATTCATCAGCATATTCATGATCTTTTAAGTAAATCTTTTGGTAAATTAATGCTTTGTGTTAGTAGACAACAAAGTAAAATGCATTCTAATTATTGTAAGTACGAATGGTTTATTAAATTAATAATACTTACTGCTGAACTAATATTTAGTTCTGATCTTTATAGGCAGCCTTTTTTGATCAGAAGTTAATGATAATTAGTTCTATAACTATATTAACACAATTCTCCATACAGTAAAAAATGCAAATTTTATAAACTTGGTTCTTTATAACAAATTACACATAAACCACTTACTTTCTTGGCTGACACACAATGTGGACACGTAGATTTGGAAAACAAAACCACACAGTTTTCATTTACCATAGTAGTGATGTATCTATCTATTTCTGAAATTTTTTTAAAATATGAAAATATTTTTACTTGTCAGTTTGAATTATCATAGATGCTTAAAACAGTGATTGGTAACTTACATCATCTTACAGTCTACATAAACACACAATTATTGAAACATCAATACCAGATCTACTTTATCAGTCTTTTGTAATAAAGCATCGAATTGGATTCAAACAAGGATTATACCAGAAAGGCTTCCTAAGCTAATCATATAAAGATCTGGACAATTAAACCAATAACATATGAGCAGGGATTACATTGATTAGTTTAATTATAATTAATATCACAAAATTAATCAATTAATCAAAATCAGTGTTTCCAATTGTTCCAACAATTGATTAATCTAAATTATAATTACATTGACTGTCATGAAAATAATAAATTAATTGCTCCAATTATTAATATTTTCAATTACTCCAAGTAATCAAAATATTGTTATTATGTTTGATTGTTGGCTTGAGCACAAAGCTCCTTAATGGGCTATCTCTGCTCTGTTCCATGCAGGTATCAAAACCAGATTTTAGCATTACAAGTTGTTTTTTACTTCAAGTTCACTCAGCTTTGTACCAGCATGGCCTGGTGATTCAGGTCGAGGGGGCAAAGCTACTACTACTACTACTGTTATCTTCCACTGTCACTAATTTTGAAATCCTGACTAGAGGAAGAGAAACTGAATGGCAGCATCCACTGCCAGCTCTTATGCTACTATTTTTTTGGCTTGTTTGGGAGAATACATACCATGGCTTGAGGAATACTGTACTAATCAATTAATCAATTATCAAATACATAAAAACTAGGCTGATATGAACTGAAGTAGTTTGAAGGTGGTTTCCAGCTGGTCTTGATGTCCTGTTACTTTTTCAAAAATTCTAAACTCTATTAAAATCTAGCTTTTAAGTGCAAGTAGAAAGTAACTACTTTTAACATTAATTACACCAATAGCCCTTCACACAAGACAGATTGTAAAAGGTCTCACTGTGAAAAAATTGTACAAACACATTTTGTGTGTTTCAAAGCTGGGACGCAGCTATTACACTGCAAAGCATTTCCATGAAACAAGCAATTAAATCAATGAGATATAATAGTGTTACAACAGCGGAAGTCATGTGACACTAGTAACGCGTCATGATATTCTCGAAGGTTCGTGAATGCTCGAGTGCTTACTAGATGTGAGGTATTCTTGTATATAAGTGCGCCAAACAATGGAATTGAAGGGCAGACAGTGATAGAGACGGACAATTGAGTCAAGCGCGGTAGTAGGCGTGAATCGTTCGTTGTGAATTATAGCATTTGTTAAGTCATTAAAGTGACTGTGGAAATTAAGTGTATTGCAAAATTGTATTGAGAAAGAATAAACCTATTTTATTTAAGAAAGGACTTGTATTGCTAAAGTTTTTCGGAAAGAATTTCTACAGAAAATTAACAAATGAACAGAGACGTAACAAATTGGTGTCAGAGAGTGGGACGAAAAAAAAATGGAAACAAGAAGCGACAAATCAAACTACAGCTTAGTAGATTTGATGGCAGCAATACAAAAGCAGCAAAAGAAACAAGAAGAATGAGAAAAGAAACAAGAGGAGAAATTACAGCAGTTGTTGGAGGAAAAAGAAAAGAAAC